ATGTATATACATGAGGGATTAAGTGAAAAGAGGAAGGAAAATATGGGGTTAATCAACAATCCAACATCAAAAGAAGCACTGAGGGGTAGGACTGTGGGAGAGCTGTGTTTTGGGAGGTACGTGTGGTGATGGACAGGGCGCATGATTCTTTTTCAAAAATTTGGAATATCGAACATTCTGGTTCCAACCTTTCAACCCTCAAATAAGTTCCAACGGGAACTTGTTAGATTTCAGAAGTAGTGAACAAAAGTGGCTGCAAAGTTAAACTTTTAAGTGTTCAAATAAAATATTTATTTTTAAAAAAATGAATTCAGGTAGAAGAGGAAGGCCCTGCAAAGGAGAGAGGATTGGCCAGAGAGGTGGGAGTAAAACCACGGAGCCCAAGAAAGGACAGCATTTCAGGAAGGGTGGAGTCCACAGTTATGTCAAATGCTGCTGAGAGGGGTGTGGCTATACATCAGAGAATCTGTGTGTGAAGCTGACAAAGTCGTTTTGGTGGAGTGTGAGGACAGAAGGAGAAGTGAAGAGAAGCAGAAGTGGAGGTAGTGTAACCCGAAAGGGAACCTGGCCCTTAGTGGGTTTGCCTAGGGCTGGCTGGTAGTGTATGGGTTCTTGACTTTGTGCAGGAAAAACTTTACAATACAAGTCCAGCCCTGGCCGGTTTGGCCCTTGGACAAATGAGTTGCAGGTTTGATTCCGGCCAAGGGCACGGACCTCGGTTGCTGTTCGTCCCTAGCCCTGGTCGGGGTCATGCAGGAGGCAGCCAGTCGATGTGTCCCTCTCACATGGATGTTTTTCTCTCTCTCCCTCCCACTCTGTCTGAAGATAAAGAGAAAAATATCCTCGGGTGAGTGTTGTGGCGCGAGAGAACCGAGAGACCACCAGAGCCAAATTAAAGCCAAATAGAGAGCAAAGCTAGCCGGCGACTCATCCTGAGTTCTTGGAGACCAGCCCTAGGGCCTCCAAATGTTGTGGCATGACAGAGTCAAAGAAAAGACCACTAGAGAATTGAAGTCCAAATAAGAGCCATTTATTGGCCAGCTGGCGTCTGATTCCGAACACCCCTGTGACAGAGTCTTCGGAATCAGCCCCCGTATGCTTTACTACATGCCTTTTATACCTTACTGAAAATAGGATCTTCTTGATATAATGCCCAGGGCACCCTGGCCGGTTTGGCTCAGCGGTTAGAGCATCGCCTGCAGACCAGAGAGTCCTGGGTTCGGCTCTCACTAAGGGCACATACCTCAGTTGCAGTTTGTCCCCGGCCCCAATTGGGGTCGTGTGGGTGGCAACCAGTCGATGTGTCTCTCTCACGTTGATGTTTCTCTGTCTCTCTCCTGCTCTATCTGAAGATAAGTGCAAAAAAAAAAAAAAAGATATAATGCCCAGAGCTACAACAATGCTGTATTGAATTAGTTTGCCTTGCAGATAACAGGAACACCCAGGCACACCCAGGAATACCCAGGTATTTCAGGTATTTCAAGGTACATTGGGTCACACTTAGCCCAGAGCTGCACAAACACAATGCAAGCCTAATTCCTTGAGATTGTGGGGAAGGTCGAGTCTCTGACTCAAGACCTCCAGACTTTGTGGACTCTGTCAGACATGTAGCCTGCTCCCAACAATTTCTTGGTTCGGGGAGTATTCCAATTTACTGAGGTTATTTTGACTAAACAGATTCAGCTAGAGGGCATACGGTGACTTTCCCAATCATCAATTATAGAGCAGCACAGTAATTTACCAATCATCAATTATGGAGTTATAAACATGCCAGCACAGTGAGGATTTGAAAAATAATAAAAATAAAAATAATTTTAAAAAAAATGAGCCTGGCTTGTGTGGCTCAGTAGTTGAGCATCGACCCATGCACCAAAAGGTCTCTGGTTCGACTCCAGGTCAGGGCACATGCCCAGGTTGTGGGCCCAATCTCCAGTGGGGGGCATATAGGAAGTGGTGTAAAGGACAAACACATGATCTTGCCCCCTGGATTTTAAGGGAATGGCAAGAACTATCTGCTAATAGATAACCACTGCATTGTATAGATAACCATTGCTTTGTGTACACAGAAACTGATTGTTCCCTCAGGCATAACAGCTAACTACAAATATCTGCTTCTGTACGTCTTGCTTGCTCCCATACCCTTAACCCAAATTCCTTAACAGGGGCTAAGACAACTATATGAGCAACCCACCCCCTGAGCTCGGGGCTGCTCTCTCCTCTGAGTAGAATGGGACAGTCGCCGCGTGGCTAATAAAGCTCTCTTCATTTGAACCCAGTTCGGAGTCTGAATCTGGTCTGTCTCGTTGGTCTACAACAGTGTCCAATCTCTGTTTTCTCTCATTGATGTTTCTATCTCTCTCCCTCTTCCTTCCTCTCTCTAAAATCATTAAGGGGGGAAAAAACACAATAGGAGTCCAGGTGAATTTTAGAAGATGTGTTATCAAAGCTGAAGACAGTGAAACAAGGAAAAGCCTAGGATAACAGGAGAGGGATTAGGTGGGGAAATGAGTCTAGGTGGGGCTGCTTTAGTTTACTAAGAGGTCAGAGATAAGGAGCTCTTGGGGACAGGTTTAGAGGGTCTGCCCAGGAAGAACTGCTGCTGCCCATTGCTGCCCTAGTTGCAGGCCTTGGGTCTCTGAGTCTTTAGAAGATGCATGCCTGTGTGGGAAGAAAGAGGGGAGGGGAAGAGGAAGGCGTGAATGTGCTCCAGGGAGAGAGAGCACACTGTGGGACCTTCGTTTTGAGGGGTTTTAAAGGCTGGGAGTTGTCTGGCCAGGTGTGGCTTAGCGGTTGAGCATCGACCCATGCACCAAGAGGTCACCGGTTTGATTCCCAGTCAGGGCACGGGCCCAGGTTGTGGGCCAAATCCCCAATGGGGAGCATGCAGGAGGTGGCCAATCAATGTTCTCCCTCATCGATATTTCTTTTTATTTTTTTGGCTTCTAGATTGTAATTTTAATTACTTTGAAAGAACATGATTTAATACCAAATGTTTAAACACTCATTATCATTGCTAACCTGTGAAATCAATATTATTTATATCTGATTATCTATACAAAACTCATAGATTTTTCTTTTGAAAAAGGCAGTAGATATCCCAAAGAATAAGGGAGAGACTACTAAATAAAGGTCATGTTTACTAATCTAGCACCATAATTCCAGTCTTAGGACCTCCCAAGCAGCTGGAAGGAGGAAGAGAAGAGGTGAGGATGTTGGAAAAGTAAGGACAGACAGTTCTTAACTTGTGGCCCCATTTGTGCTCGAAGCAACGCAGGGTCTAGCAAAGGCTCATACTGGAGATAAGACAGAAGCTTTGGTTCAGATGTAGAGGAGGCCCTGGAGAAGAGTAAAGCCAGGACTTCCAGGAGGCGGCGCTGGACTTGGCCTCATGAACTAGGGGGTTTCTTCTTGGCATCCAAGTCCTTTTTAATTTCTTCAAGTTTTTTTAGCCAGGTTTGGTATGTCATAATTCTGAGCCAGCTACATTCCAACCAGGTTGCCAAAAGTAAATCCAAGCAGGAACTGGAGCATGATGTCAGTGAACTGGGAGCGAAGGGTGGTAGCAGCTCGGTTCTCATCCATATTTCTCTCTCTCTCTCCCTCTCCCTTCCTCTCTCTCTGAAAATCAATAAAGAAAGAAAAATTTTTTATTAAAAAAATAAATATATTTAACACATATTCAGCCTCCACTTAATTAGATTCTCAGTTAATCAGAGCACAGAATAACATAGGGAAGGAATTTGGACTAATTTTTTTTTTTTATCCTCACCCGAGGACATTTTTTCATTTTTTGTTCAGATAGAGTGGGAGGGAGAGAGAGGGAGAGAGAGGCAGAGAGAGAGAGAGAGAGAGAGAGAGAGAGACATCGAGTGAAAGGGACACATCAAGTGGTTGCCACCCGCACGACCCAACCAGTGCCGGGGATAAACTGCGACTGAGGTACATGCCCTTAGCGAAAACCAAACCCCAGGCTGACGCTCTAACCGCTGAGCCAAACTGGCCAGGTCTGGACTAATTCTTAAATTCCAATCCAGTGTGATCTTAGAAAGTGTCTAAACCTGCCCTGGTCGGTTTGGCTCAGCAGTTGAAGTGTCAGCCTGTGGACCAGAGAGGCCCAGGTTCGGTTCCCGCTAAGGGCACATACCTCGGTTGCAGTTTGTCCCTGCCCCAGTTCAGGTCATGTGGGAGGCAGTCAGTCGATGTGTCTCTCTCAAATTGATGTTTCTCTCTCTCTCTTCCTCCCTCTCTCCATCCTGCTCTATCTGAAAATAAATGCAAAAATGTCCTGGAGTGAGGATTAAAAAAAAAAGAAAAGAAAGGAAGTGTCTAAACCCAAAGAGCCACTGTTTCCTCATCTTTCAAGGGGTGATGGATATCCCTGGATCTGAGATGTTTGTAAAGCTCTGATAGCACCTAGAACCTGGAGCCTATAAGGAGGTTGTGGGAAATTCAAACAGAACGAGACAGAGAGCCTCATACTTGAGGTTTTAATTGGGAGATGGTGATGCAGGGCCAGTGTTGCAGGATTTTAAACATGCGGGACATTTATAGCATTGGGCATGCGAGTATTCCTGTTTCTGCCTGAACTGAAAATGAGTTTCTCTGCTAGGCATCCAGGCCCAAGAGCACCTTAAATTTCTAATTAGGAAAAATGCGAGGTTATTTCTGAGGCCTGGACCAGTATCTGACTACCACCGATACTCAATAACTGATTAAGGCAGAATGGGATCTGGGTGACGGGAAGAGGTGGTGTTAGATAAATGAAAACTGCCGGAGAGAGCCCGAGCAAAACCAGCGCCCCGGGATTTTGACGTCGCTATAGGAACTCCCTCGCCACACGCACCCACCGGAGAACTCCAAGTCCCACAAGGCCCGTGGCTTCCCCGCCTCAAGGGGAGGAGGGGCAAGGCGAGGGCGGCACCGGCTGTTCCTGTTTTCTGAAGCGTGATTGGCTCGTGGCTCTAGAAGGCGACCAATGACCGCTCTCGGAGAAAGCGGCGAGACCAATATGGCTTCCTGCGCCTGGTGACGGTTGAAGAAACAGTTAGGTCTCATGGAGAAGCCACGGGGCATCGAGGTGAGAGGGGAAGAACTTTTGGTGTCTGGGAAAGGGAACCCCGGAGAGCCTAGCTTGGGGGGACCCTTCTTTAGGCCTTTTAGCGACGCCTTGCGTGTGGAGGGCGGAAAGATGGATAAACTGAGGCTGCGCAGGGCCAGAAGCGACTGATGTTGCCTTTTGGTCCGATACTGCTGGGGCCCCACGTCTGGCAAGTAGTTGGGGATGGAGAACTGGGTTGGGGATCGGAGAGCTCCCGAATCTTCGTCCTTCCTGTCGCGTGGTCGTGTTCTTTAGGGACTGTGAGGCCTGTCACATCCTGGGGTGACGTGAAGGGAGATTCGAGTTTAGTAAACACTCCGTGTCTAGAGCGTTCACGTGCATTATCTCCCATTATACTCACAACAGTCTTGTGTGATTGTTTCGTTTTTATGGTGGAAGCAGCTGAGGCTGAGAGAGGTGGTGAGGCTCACCAGGAAGTTCACACAGCTGTGAAGGGGAGGAGGCTGGCGCTAAGTCCGCAGGCTCCCAACTCAGCCTGTTACGCCTTCCCACAATGCTACAACCTGTAACCCACGCACTCTTTAATCATTTGGCTTCTGGTCACCTTGTGTTTGAATTCGGTTTCCTTTGTAGCGCATTTGCATGTGTAGTTGGAAATATAAAGTGGACTAGCCCAAAAATTCCACGAGGGTAAAAAAGAAGAAGAAGAAAGTAGAGAATAACAATAATAGCTCACACTTTTAGAGCAATCACTAACTGCTGGAAACAGATTTAGGCTTTACATATGTCATTCTTCCAGTCTTCTAAAGAAGACTTGTTATTATCTCCATTGCACTAATGAAGAAACTGAGAGCAGCACGTTTGTCTTGCACCAAAGCAGTTAGTGGCACACCCAGGATTCAGACCCAGGCAAATCTGGTTTGAAACGCCATGCTTTTAACCAGTAATAATTGCCAACATTTATTGAACATTTACTATGTGCAAGTCACTGTTCCCAGTGCTTTACATATATTAATTCTTACTTTTACCCCAAAGCCTACAAAATAGGTGGCATTGTTCTCATTTACAGATGGGGAAACTGAGGCACTGAAACATCAACTTGCTGCAGATTATACAGCTAGTCAAAACTAGACATGGGCCCTGGCCTGCAGACCAATGAGTCTCAGGTTCGATTCAGGTTAAGCGAACTACCGCGGTTGCGATTCGTCCCTGGCCCTGGTTGGGGGGTCGGGCGGGAGGCAACCACTTGGTGTGTTCCTCTCACATCGATGTTTCTCTTTCTCTCTTCCCTTCTCTCCCTCCCACTCTATCTGAACAAAAAATGGAAAAATATCCTCAGGTAAGGATTAAAAAAAACACTAGACATGGGCCACGCTGGTGTTGCTCAGTGGATTGAGAATCCTCCCATGGACTGAGTGGTCCTAGTTGGATTCCTGGTCAGGGGACATGCCTGGGTTTCAGGTTCAATCCCCAGTGGGGGGTGAGGCAGCTGATCGATGTTTCTCTCACATCGATGTTTCTCTCTCCCTTCCTCTCTCTCTCCACATAATCAATATAAACATACTGAAAAAAAAAAAAAAAATAGCCCAGCTGGTGTGGCTCAGTGGTTGAGCATCGACCCATGCACCAAGAGGTCGTTGGTTTGATTCCTGGTCAGGGCACATGCCTAGGTTGTGGGCCAAGTCCTTAGTGGGAGGGCATGCAGGAGGCGGCCAATTGATGTTCTCTCTCATCGATGTTTCTATTTTTCTCTTTCCCTTTCTCTCTCTAAAATCAATAAAGAAAAACAAAACAAAACAAAACTAGACATGGAATTTGAACCCTGACTTAGAACCCAAACTTTTCACACCTTTTCTGTTATATGCCAGGTCAATTAATATACAATATCTCATTTACACCTCACATCCTGTGAGCCAAATATTTTTATAGATGAGAAAGTTGAGGCACAGAGAGGTTAAATGACTTGTCCCAGACTCCCAGATAGTTAGGCTCAGAACTAAGTCCATTACAAATATCATCAAGTGCATACTTAATTTTTAAAAACTTAGTTAAAAAAAAAAACTAAGTCCAAAGCTGTCGTACATACCATTATGCCATAACTAGTATGTCTTCTGCCTTCCAAATCCTTCTTATGGCAATCTGGGTCCCAAATTAACTTTTCTCTGACTTAAATTGTTTTTTAGGACACTTTGCATTCGTCTTCAGATAGAGTGAGAGGGGGAGAGGGAGGAATAGAGAGAGAGAAATGTCAACATGAGAGAGACATATCGACTGGCTGCCAGCCCACTCGACCCCAACCGGGGTGGGGGACAAACGGCAACTGAGGTACCTGCCCTTCACGGGAACCTAACCCGGGTCTCTCTGGACCACAGGCCGACGCTCTAACCGCTGAGCCAAACCGGCCAGGGCTTAAATTGTTTTTGAATTGAGGTTATTTTGGTGTACATATACGGAAGGGGGAAGAATAAATTTCTACTGAGTTCAGTTCCAGACCACCACAATAAAGCAAGTTGTAATCTTTTTGCTGGTGGAGGGTCTTGCCTTCAATTTGTAAAAATTGCAGCATCTGTGAAGTGCAATAAAGCAAAGTGCGTTAAAACGAGGTGTGCCTGTACAGTTTTCCCTCAGTGTCCATGGTGGATTGGTTCCACAGACACCAAAATTCCTTATATAAAATAGCATAGTATTTGCATATAACCTGCACACATCCTTCCATATACTTTATTTATTTATTTATTTATTTATTTATTTATTTATTTATTTATTTATTTTTTTGGTGCATGAGTAGAGGCTCAACCACTGAGCCAATCCAGCTGGGCCTCCCATATACTTTATTTATTTATTTTTTTATTCTCACTCGAGGACATTTTTGCATGTATCTTCAGATAGAGCGGGAGGGAGAGAGGGGGGAGAGAGAGAAACATCAATGTCAGAGAGACACATCGACTGGCTGCCACCCACACAACCCTGTTAGGGCTGGGGACAAACTGCAACTGAGGTACGTACCCTTAGCAGGAACCAAACCCAGGACTCTGGTCCACAGCCAGATGCTCTAACCACTGAGCAAACTGATCAGGGTTCCCATATACTTTTAATCATTTCCAGATTACTTATAATACCTAATACAATGTAAATGCTGTATGAACAGTTATTATACTGTATTGTTTAAAGAATAATGAAAAGAAAACTTAAGTCTGCACATGTTCAGAATAGGTGCAACCATCAAAGGCCTAACTATAGGCTACATGTCAGCAACATTGTAGCTTAAAAAATATTTCCTTTTTTTTTAATAGTTTTTTATTTATTTTCTTATCCTCACCCGAGGACATTTTCCATTTTTTGTTCAGATAGAGTGGGAGGGAGAGAGAGGAAGAGCGAGAGAGAAACATCTACGTGAAAGGGACACATCAAGTGGTTGCCACCCGCACGACCAACCAGGGCCGGGGACAAACAGCAACTGAGGTACGTGCCCTTAGCGGGAGCTGACCCCTGGTCTCTCTCGACTGCAGGCTGACACTCTAACCATTGAGAAAACCAGCCAGGGCTAAAAATATTTTCTTTATGTGAATGTGGAACCCACTGATATAGAGGGCAGACTGTATACATCTTTTCCAGAAAGTTCTCATGAGGCACCTCACTTAGGATATTTTTAAATCATTGTATTCTATTTGAATTATATAAAATATCATAACTTACAAATCCACAGAAGGAGGTTGGTTAATTCCTAAAACATGTTTTTTTCTGTCTTGTTAAGCTATTCTGTTGAATTATGGTTGAGAAGTGTATAAACAAGAGGAATGATTCTGGCCCTGGCCAGTTTGTCTCAGCGGTTAGAGCGTTGGCAATGAGTCTCGGGTTCGATTCTGGTCAAGGGCACATACCTCAGTTGCAGTTCATCCCTGGTCCTAGTTGGGTTGTGCAGGAGGCAACCAGTATCTCTCTCACATTGATGTTTCTTTCTCTCTTTCTGTCTCTCTCTCTCATCCTCCCTCCCTCCCACTCTATCTGAAGATAAATAGAAAAAAAATATCTTCAACTGAGGATTTATTTATTTATTTATTTTTTTTTTATCCTCACCTGAGGACATTTTTCCATTTTTTGCACAGATAGAGTGGGAGGGAGAGAGAGGAAGAGAGAGAGAGAGAGAAACATCGATGTGAAAGGGACACATCGAGTGGCTGCCACCCGCACGACCAACCAGGGCCGGGGACAAACCGCAACCGAGGCACATGCCCTTAGCGGGAACCGAACCCGGGTCTCTCCGGACCGCAGGTGGATGCTCTAACCACTGAGCCAAACTGGCCAGGGCCTCAACTGAGGATTTAAAAAAAAAGTAATGATTCTGGTGTTTGCAAAGGGGTATTTGATTCTGCCTGCCATTCTGCCCAAAAGTGTTGACTTGACCAAGAACTGGAAAGGGAGCAATCTGCAACAAGCCATGATTCCTGCCTGGTTTGTGTCATTCTTTCTTGCACTAGGAGATTCCTTCTTCAGAACCAATGGAGGAAGAAGAGGAAGATGACGACTTGGAACTCTTTGGTGGCTATGACAGTTTCCGGAGTTATAACAGCAGTGCGGGCAGTGAGAGCAGCTCCTACCTAGAGGAGTCAAGTGAAGCAGAAAATGAAGAGAGGGAAGCAGGGGAGCTGCCCACCTCCCCCCTGCATTTGCTCAGCCCTGGGACTCCTCGCTCCTTGGACGGCAGTGGTTCTGAGCCAGGTGCCTTCAGAGTGTCCCTGAAGATGGGGAGGTTTCAGGAGGCTGTGGAGGAAGAGGGGGATCTAGGCAGAGGTGTCCAGGTGTAAAGGGCTATTTGATGTTAAGTGTAAGGGATGAGATGTCTAAGGACCTGTGAGAGAGACAGAAGCATTCCAAGAATCCCTAGGGATCATTTCCTCTGCTGCAGTCTGATTTCATTTACTCTTTCATACAACTAATTTTATTCAACACATATTAGGTGCTTGTCATTAACATGGTGCTACTTTTACATTTGTGTGAACAGCTGATGGATTTTTTTTTTTTTAATCTTCACCTGAGGATATTTTTCCATTTTTTGTTCAGATATAGTGGGAGGGAGAGAGACAGAGAGAGAGCGAAACATCGACGTGAAAGGGACACATCAAGTGGCTGCCACCTGCACAACCCAACCAGGGCCGGGGACAAACAACCGAGGTACGTGTCCTTAGTGGGAACTGAACCTGGGTCTCTCTGGACCGCAGGCTGATGCTCTAACCACTGAGCCAAACTGGCCAGGGCCAGCTGATGGATTTTTAAGCCTGGATATTGAGAAGATAGGACACCCAAAATGTTCTCATTACTATTTGGGAAGTAACAAGAAAGAGCTTGTGGGTTGGAAGTGATAGAGAGAGAAATACAGAATAAAGTGACTCCTGGGTAAGAGGATTGGGGTGGGGGTGTACAGATAAGCATCCCTATGGAACCTGGCTGGGTGGCTCAGTTTGTTGGAGCATCATCCTGTACACCAAAACATGGAGGGTTCAATTCCCTGTCAAGGCACATACTTAGGTTGCAGGTTTGATCCCTGGTCTAGGTGCATACGGGAGGCACCACTTGATGTTTCTCTCTCACATTGATGTTTCTCTCTCTCTCTCACCCTCTCTTTCTCTCCTTCTCTCCCTCTCTCCCTCCCTCTTCTCTCTAAAATCAATAAACATATCCTCAGATGAGGATTAAAAAGAATCCCCATGGAACATATGGAAGCCAGTTGGCTTCTGTGATGTGATGCTTGGACAGCTGCTGGACCTGTGTCAGGGTCTCAGCATGTGGATTGCCTGCAAAAAGAGGTCTGTGAGGACACTCCTGTTCTTTGACGCCTAAGCTCTAGAAAAATTATCTAAGACTCTTTACCAGTTGAATCTTATTTTCTTTCTATTCATGCTGTCTTCTCTTCTTCCCTCTCCTTTCATTCATCTCTCTCCCTTCTGTCTTCTAATTATTCTCTTAGAATCTTAGACCTTTACAAACAGAAAGGTCCTATAGACACTATGTAGTCCAGGGTTTCTCTGTCCTGGATGCACATTAGAATCTCTGGCTTGGGCACTTTTAAAAGCCCCCACATGATTGTAATGTGAAGTCAGGGTTGCGGCACTGAACTAGTTCAGTCTCTCTATAGATGAGAAGACAATAGTCTCAGAAGTTAAATGACTTGGGCACTTTTTTTCCTTTTTTCTCTTTGCAAACTTTCCAACACTCATGTGTTTCCTCATGAATTTTCTTTAGCCTCACTGTTGACACATAGCCAAGAGATGCCAAGCAGCTTATCTTAGGCGAAAGAGATTCAGGACTTACTTACCTGGTTAATGCAGTGCCCAGGTTTTGAAGGGTCCATTATTTTGTTTTATTTGGGGTGACTGTATCAGGTGAGTCATGTGCTAAGTTCTCTTCCCAGCTGTCTGTGAGATGTGTGGTATCGTGGGTACAAGAGAAGCCTTCTTCTCCAAGACCAAGAGATTCTGCAGCGTCTCCTGTTCCAGGAGCTACTCCTCCAACTCCAAGAAAGCCAGTATCTTGGCTAGATTACAGGTGAGAGGCAGTCACTTGGGAAGACCCTTCCTGGAGCCCAGGGTGCTGAGACAGGAACAGCCAACTGATGGCAAGGGGCCCAGAGGGCTTGGGAAAGACCTTGCTTGTATCCATCTGAAGTTGTAAATTTTCTGATATTTATTATCATATCAGAGTAGAGGGCAGGGAATCTATTTATGGAGCTCATAACTTGCAGATTCCTGGAGCGTCACGCACTTCATTCTCCACCCTGGGGAGGTTCAATACGTTTTCAACAAAACGCCCTTGGTCCTTACACCACAGTTTTCAGCTTTATAAATATTCTGAAAGGAAGCTGGGAATGAGCCACAAGGTGGGTTTAGATAGTTGACGCCTCATCTCTGACTCCATGTCATAGGCAGTCACCCAGAAAGTCTTACCAATCTCTAGTTAATTATTGACATTCACGGAAGTTTTAGAAATAGGAGGATTCTGATATGTTGTCTAATCCATACATTAATTGGTAAGTATGCTGAGGTCCAGAGAGGAATAATGGCTTATGTAGGGTGGCCTGTGGGATGAGGGCAGCAGAACAAGACTGGAAGCTAATCTCAGGTGCCTGGCCTTGTGTTGTTTCATGCTGTCTATGATTGCTGATCACACACTGGTTCTCAAACTCGACTGCATGTTGGGATCACTGGAAAGGTTTTTAAAATATTGATGCTTGGGTCTTACTCCCAAAGATTCTGATTTAATTGGGACAAAATGTGGCCTGGACACAGGGGCTTTAAAGAGCTCCCCAGGTGTTGTTAGTGTGCAGCAAAGCTTGAGGCCTCTGCTCTGGCATCTATTGCAAGTCAGTGAGCCAGGCCTTCTGCTCGGTGCTTTGTACACTTGCTCACCTTCATGATACAATTACTGTTGTTTTGTGGACTGTAGTCAAGGCACAGAAAAATCCTTCCTCAGTGAGCTGATAATTTTGTTAATAGCTACAATTTGGAGGTACTTACTAAGGGCTTGGCACTCTCAGTCTAACCAATGATCTCTAAAAAATGAATTTTTAAAAATTCCTATTGTAAAGGGTCAGAATTATTTAGTAACTTGTTCAAAGATACACATACAATTGAAGAGCCAGGATTTGACCCCAGGTCTATGTGGGTTCTAAACCCACATTTCTACTACACCGATCTCTCTAATAAATTCTCCGGGCCCTTCTGATCAGTGCTTAAGTTAAAAATTACTGACCGGATCGGTGTCCTTTAACTTTGGGGGAGGACCCCTGTGAGCACCTGATGAAAGCCTCTTCAGAACATCATGTATGTACAGAATGTTGCCTCCTTCAGTTCACGGATCCCACTGAAGCCCATTCTCTGCCATAAGTCTGTAGAAGCGCAGGGATAAGTAATGGCTGATTCAAGCCACTAGGAAAAGGTTTCTGGAGGAAGCACAGGTTTAAAAGATGGAACAGGTGTCCCTCCTTGCCCTACTGCTCTGCCGCCTGTCCCCAGAGAACCAGAGAGAAGCCCTGATTGAGTGCCAAGCTCATACAGTGACTCCCATCCTTGAAACCTCTCTGAGCTAGGCATTGTTATTGGTATCACCTTGATTTACAGATGGAGAAACTGAAGCCCCAGAGAGCTTGGCCCCATGCCAAGATTTAAACCTAGGCAGTCTTAAGTCCAGAGCTAGGTTCTTAGCCAATATGCTACACACATCCTCTCCTCCCTTCAGGGCAAACCACCTACCAAGAAAGCCAAAGTCCTGCACAAAGCAGCCTGGTCTGCCAAAATCGGAGCCTTTCTCCACTCACAAGGGACGGGACAGCTAGCAGATGGGACACCGACGGGGCAAGACGGTAAGCGGGCAGAGGGCTGTGCTCAGGAGGCTGCTGAGCATGGGGATGGAGTGCCAGGGCTGGGTGGCCCACTCTAGGAGTGAGGAGTGGAAAAGATGGCCAACTACTAAGTGCCCTGACCCAGGTTTACTGTGGATTGCGTCTTCCTCACCTGGTGGGCATTGTGGAGATTACTACAGAAAATCCCTGCAATCACCCTGAAATGGCAGGACCCCCACTGATAATTCAAAAGCCATGTATTAGCCTCTATTGTTTTGCATTGATTCTAGCCCTATAGTTTCTCTTCCCTGGGGCAGTGGAAAACCAGACCTATTTGGGAGAGGGGTGGTGGGATAAGAAAAGGAAACTCTTGAGTGTGTAGCAATTTCTGAGCAAATTGAATATAAGCACAAAGCAACTCCGCCCTAGGTGGTCTGAGTTTCTGACTGAAATCCAGTTCCACAGGCACAAGAGTTGGAGGGGCCTGGGTGGATGACTGCTCACCCATTTAAACTGGCTGTAGCCAATGACAAGTCAGGGGAGGGCTGAACAATGTAAGCCTTTTTTCTTTGGGGGAATGTTTCCTCTATTCCTGAGATCCTGGCAGCCTTTGGATAAGGTCCTGATGGTCACTAGTGGGGCATGAATGAGGACAAGTGGCTTCCCCATGCACTTGGCATTGAGATGCTGCTGTGATGGGAAAGGGACCTGCTTCTCTAGGCTCCTCAGGGGCCAGGTTCCCTGGGTGGCTACTGCTTGAGCTCCCAGACTCCACTGTCTTCAACTCTTCTTTTCTGTTCTGCAGCGCTGGTCTTGGGTTTCGACTGGGGGAAGTTCCTGAAGGATCACAGTTACAAGGCTGCTCCTGTCAGCTGTTTTAAACATGTGAGTGCCCTGGACATGCCGGGGGGGGGGGGGGGGGGGGCTGGGTGCAGGGAACCCAGATGCTCAGCACCCATCTCACCCAGCTGCCTCACAAGCACTGTTCCAGGCTGGACATTGCATTGGCACCGCCAGAGAATAGTGGTGGGTGTGGGTGGTCGAAGCTCAGCTTTGCAACTCCTGTTACCTTTGTGTTCACTTCTCTAAAGTCCTTCCTCCAACCTTCACTGAGGGCTTCTAGCACTGTGCTTCCCCTCTGAGGTTCCCACTTTGCTGTTTACATAATGGAACTTTGTGCTATGTCTGAGCACCAAAGCTGAAATCCTTTTCTGTTTCACCATTTTTCATGTTTTTCCATTGAAAGCTTGGTGCTTCTGAACTATCCTGGGCCTCTTGGTCTCTGGGGGGCAGAGGTGGATACCTCCTGGAGCCCACATCTGCAAAAGGCTTTCTTGACCCCTGTCATTGAGAAACACTGGCAGGGTGTGGCCCTGAGGGCGGGGCTCGAAGGGGCAGCACTGATCCAAAACCCCGGAAATCCTGGAGGAGGCCTCTTTATTCTGGGAGTCCTCTCACCAGAGTAAACCCATCTCCTAGCCTCTCCTTTCTGAACTGCTACTGACCTCTGCAGGGTGCCCTGAACAGTGAGAAGTTGGCCTCAGCACAGCCTCATACTCCTGAGTTGCTGGTGAGGGTGCGCGGCTTTCTCAGTCGCCCCGAATTCTCTGGCCCTCCTGGCACTGGCGTTTTCACTGCAGGGGCGTTAACATCACACTTGCGTTTTACGCATCTGATTCCTGTGCTCTGAAGAAGCCTGTCCCTTGTGCCTGGATAGCCTAACCATTTCCAGGTCCTATGATGAACCCAGTCTCTGGCCAGGGAGATGGGACGAGATACCCCAATTGGCTTAATGTAAGCTGAGAAAGAAGAAAAGGTGATTTCCCCAAAGGAGAATCGAGGTGCCACTGGCAGCAAAGTGAGGATTAGTTATTGGGAAGGCACCCAAAAAGCAGTCCATTGCTGCCAGGGGCACTTTAACAGGACGAGAGGACCAGTTGGAGAGGTGGAGAAAGAACATGCCAGGGGTAATGTGTGGGTGGACAGCTGTGTGAAAGCTGGCATGGTGATGGCTGAGAGGCCAGGGGGTCCTGATCCTTACTTCCCAGGCTTGAATGACAATTGAAGGAGATGATATTTGTGCCAAGAACTGCTTGACACATGGTAAATACTAGCAACAGTTATGTGTCACACAGGCTGGCACAGGTTCGATGTGCTCAAGATGTTACAGCTAGGAGGTGGTCCTGTAAAGACTAGTACTCAGGGCTGTCTGACTATCACCCCTGCCCACTCGCATCTATTCCCTGACTCTGCTCTCCAAGGACAGCAGACACATTCTGCTCATTTCTTCACCCCTTGTCCCGTGCCTGGCTTTCCGCATCCAATGACTGATGCAAAAAGGCGAAGGACGCAATGACTCATGAAGCCATGAGGCCAGCACTCTTCTCTGCCAGCCCAGGCCATTCACTGTTTCCCTTTCTTCTCTCGTCCCCACCCAGGTCCCGCTCTATGACCAGTGGGAGGATGTGATGAAGGGAATGAAGGTGGAGGTGCTCAACAGTGACGCTGTGCTCCCCAGCCGAGTATACTGGATCGCCTCTGTCATCCAGGCCGCAGGTGGGTGTTCCGTTGGCTGAAGCAGGGTCAGGGTCTGGAGATCGGCATCTTTAGATGGGTAGGCAATGCTGCAGGCAGAAATTGGCTTCATAAAACCAAAAAACCCCACCTGCTGGAGTTTCTGGCTTCCTTGCAACCCTACCTTGCCTCTAAGGGCAGTGCCCTTAGAGGGTACTGCCAAGCTTGGTGAGTTTGGTAACTCCCATTTTTTAAGTTTATTCCAGGGATAATCAGACTCTAGATAATTAATTCTCCCCATTATGCCATATTGCTTTCCAAGTAAGTGACATGGGTTTGTTTTGGCCATGACTCTTGTGGACAGCGGAGACCACGTTGTCTGGAAGGAGTTCTTGAAGTGGGCAGTGGAAAGTCCAGTGTAGGCTGCAGAAGGAGCAAGGCCTAAGAACATGCCTTTCCCTATCCCACCCTCTCTCACTGGTGCTCTTTTCATCTTTCCAGGGTACCGAGTACTGCTGCGGTATGAGGGTTTTGAAAACGACGCCAGCCACGACTTCTGGTGCAACCTGGGAACTGTGGATGTCCACCCTATCGGCTGGTGCGCCATCAACAGCAAGATCCTGGTGCCCCCACGGAGTGAGTTGATGAGAGGTTCTGTGTGCTGATTTCTGCAGGGCCTTTGGTAGGAGGGGTGTCCTCTGTCTTAGGTTAGGCCAGAACAGAACCCACTTGCCTTCTTTGTTCCAGAGGCCCTGTGGCAGCTCCAGGTTGTAGAGCCTGGTTCTATAGGATGAAGTGATTGCTAACCGGGAAAAGGCAGAAATAAGTTATTCAATATCCTCAGCTGATCTCTGGGGCAGCTCTGGCGCCCTCTGTCGATGGGAGTGTTGTTAGCGTGTAACCAGGAATCTTCTGTCTTGCAGCCATCCATGCCAAATTCACTGACTGGAAGGGCTACCTCATGAAACGGTTGGTGGGATCCAGGACACTTCCTGTGGATTTTCATATCAAGGTCTGGCAGTGAGCCCTTTGGGTCTCCTAAGTGATCTCCTTCCTGCCCCCTCCCATTTTATGTGCTTCCTGCTACTCATTGGAGTATTCTTCCTAAGGCTCCTTGTTTAACAATCTGTAGCGGCTCCATGTTTCTCAAGGAAGGATGGTGGTTCCTGCTGCCTAACAAGGGAGGATGTTAGCTTCCTCCCCACCCAGGTTCTGATCTGGCCACATTGACCACACCAAATTGTCTGCCATTTGTCCTTCCAGACCCTTACCTTTGCTCATAGAATTTTTCAATAGATTGTATTAAGTGCTTGTTGAATACAAGGCACTGTGGGAATATAACCCCTGCTGTCCAGGACTTTCCTATCTGGCAGAGGACATGAAGTCATGTCTATAAATAATTGCAAAGTAGCCTTGGTTCTAACCCAGGGCTGTGCTTCAGAATCACCTGTGTGGCATTGAATTTTTGTTTTAGCCTCACCTGAGGATATGTTTATTACTTTGAGAGAGAAAGAGAAACATTAATCTGAGAGAGAAACATCAATCAGCTGCCTCTTCTACATGCCCTAACTGGGGATCGAATCCATAACCTAGGCATGTGCCCTGACCATAAATTGAACCCATAGTCTTTTGGTGCACAGGACGATGCTCCAACCAACTGAGCCACCCAGCCAGGGCTATATGGCATTTAACTTTAATTATTAAAAATTATTTAGTTTTTTTGCCCTGGCCGGTTTGGCTCAGCAGTTAGAGCGTCGGCCTGCGGTCCGGAGAGACCCGGGTTCGGTTCCCGCTAGGGGCACGTACTTCGGTTGCAGTTTGTCCCAGGCCCTGGTTGGTCGTGCGGGTGGCAGCCACTCGATGTGTCCCTTTCACATCGATGTTTCTCTCTCTCTCTCTCTCTCTTCCTCTCTCTCCCTCCCACTCTATCTGTACAAAAAATGGAAAAATGTCCTCGGGTGAGGATAAAAAAAAAAAATTATTTAGTTTTTTAACCTAAAAATTCATACACATGGTAAAAATCAAAGGGATCTCAAGGGTACAGAGTGAAGACTTAAGTCTCTCCCACCCTATAGGCCAGGTCTCCTGCTGTGGGGCTCGTTCCCCTAAGTGGCTGGGCCAAACTTCAGGTCTCCTGACCCGGATGCTCACAAGTGTGCTTCCTTTGTTGTCCGGGTGTCACAGCAGTGAGCAGGGGAGTGCAGGGCAGGTGCTGCCATGACACTAAATTGAACTGACTTTGTGGCATCGGAACAGGTATTAAGGAGGCTTCATGGGAAAAATGGCATTTGAATTTGACCTTGATGGATAGGGTGGAAGCCAGCATTGAAAAACAAGGATGGAGTGGAAGTTGGGGCTATCTCGCCCATAGCCCCGGCCACCAGGTGTAAACGTTGCTGTCCTGGACTTTCGCTTATGGACAGCTGTCCTTTAGCAAGGGTGGTTCCGAGCACCTCAAGGAGGCATTTTCTGATTTTTTCTCTCTAAGTAGAAATGATTTTTCTCTTCTTTGAACTCAGTGGGTGCTACCTATTTGCTATATGTTGTTAATGATCTTTTTTTTTTTTTTTTTATCCTCACCCGAGGATATTTTTCCATTTTTTTGTACAGATAGAGTGGGAGGGAGAGAGAGAGAGAGAAACATCGACGTGAAGGGACACATCGAGTGGCTGCCACCCGCACGACCAACCAGGGCCGGGGACAAACTGCAACCGAGGTACATGCCCTTAGCGGGAACCGAACCCGGGTCTCTCTGTACCGCAGGCCGACGCTCTAACCGCTGAGCCAAACCGGCCAGGGCGTTAATGATCTTTTTATATTCTCTTTCCAACAAAACCGTAGGCTTTTTCTCCTGTATTTCCCATAGTGCCTTGCACAGCTAATAGATTTGCCATTGAAGATGGTCATATACTCTTTCTCAGCTGGCTCTTAAGACAAGACAGATGATTTTGGTGGTGCAGGCCACTGTGAGTATCAAGGTGGCCTCTTTTCTGCCTAAATTACAAGGAGTTTGACTCTGGTGGCAGACCAGGGTTCCATGTGAACCAGTCAGCAAGCATGCGTTTACTGTCTGTCACCTGCCCAGTTGTGCAGTGCATGCTGGAGGGGACACAAACACAGCTGCCTGTGAAGATGGGGTAGGGAGGATAAAAAGGGGTGGGTTTGTGGAGGAAGCTTCCATCCACACGTGCCCTTTGATGCCTGCAGTATGGTCTGCATAGTAAAGCGTTTTGAATGAATGACCCAACAGCCAAGATCTGGTGTGTGCCCGTGTTTGTTTATTGCTGGGAAAAATCATGAACTGAACACTAACTTTGTGCCTAGTTCTATGCTTGGGCTGAGAATGCAGACATGAATCAAACCAAACCTAGCTTCTGTCCTTACAGAGCTCACGTTCCGGTCGTGACCATTAACACGAGCAGTAAAGTGTTGCTGGGTTGTGGGCTGCACTGGGGGGGGGGGGGGGTGTGCAGAGGAAAAGAATGTGTCAGGAGAGGCTGGGGGAGGAGGCAGCCCAGAGAGACCCAACCCAGGCCTCACCCTGCATCTCACTCTCCTAAATGTGCCAGTCAGGCATTTGGTGGTGGGGTGGTGGATTCCAGCCCTTGAGTTGAGGGCTGAGGGTCTTTGGGGGCTGCTTTGTGACTGAGATACTTTCCCTGCTGGTGGGATTTGAAATAGGAAAGCTCAGACCCCACCGTGCTGAGGCTGGGGCTGATTCTCCCTGAGTCAGCAGTGCCCTGGGTTGAGAGAGCCCTGCAGAGCTCACTGTACTGGGTCCTCACCATAGTTACAGCAAACAGAGCATCTCTTGCCCCTTTACCCATGCCTGCCATCAGGGCTCTCTAGAGCAGCTGGTGGGCCTGTTGGTCACTGTCCCTTGCTGGATCAGAGGGGGACAAGGAATTGCTACTGAGGTGCCATGAGCCACAGAACCACAGCCCAATGAGGCCAGAGCTGGAATTAGATGTATGAAAGCAAAGGAGGCTTTCCTGTGCTATCAGCAGGGGGCTGGGAGGGAGAGGGGAGTGTGGGGTACCTGTGGGATCAGAGTGCAGATCCCTGAGGGAGTATAAGGCTGGATACTGGGACCAGGTTCGAGGCTCAGCTCTGGCACTAATGAATGTGTGACTCTGAACAAGTCCTTTGACCTCTCTGGGGCATCTGCTTACTTAGTCTGAAAAGGGTTTTGTAATTCCCATCAGACTGACTTACGGGCATCTTGGTGTTCACGCTGTAAGCTGCATGCCTTCTCAGTGTCATCCTAAGGACTTGGAGGCCAGGGTTGAACCTGGGGACAGGGGGCTCACTTCTTGACTTAGTGTTCAGGGTGGCCCCACCCCTTTCCCTGTCCTCTGGTTACTTTTAAGAGACAGAGCAGGAAGGAGGTAGGAGGACCCTCCATGCTCACAGTAGGCCTGTGTTCTGATGTTGCAGATGGTGGAAAGCATGAAGTACCCCTTTCGGCAGGGCATGCGGCTGGAGGTGGTAGACAAGTCCCAGGTGTCACGGACCCGCATGGCTGTGGTGGACACAGTAATTGGGGGTCGCCTACGACTCCTCTACGAGGACGGCGACAGTGATGATGACTTTTGGTGCCACATGTGGAGCCCCCTGATCCATCCAGTGGGTTGGTCCCGGCGTGTTGGCCATGGCATCAAGCTGTCAGGTTAGCAGAGCCCCAGGCCAGCATGACCCCGGGCTCTGCTGCCCCAAGGCCTGGGTGGGAGCACCTTTATACCCCACAACAATGGTCTGGTAGAGGTGATCGTCTCCACCCTGCCAATACTATGGCCCAGAGAGGGTGAGTGACTTGACAAAGTCACTCAGCTTGTAAGTGGTAAAATTGATTTGGAACTAGAGACTCCAGGTCTCATCTTCTCCCTTGTCACACGGAAAGAGCCGGGTTCTTAAGGGCTGAATAGTTCTATGGAGAGTGTCTGACGTTTTCGGTCTCCTAGTCTAGGTGGGGTGGGGCTGAGATGCAGATCGGAGCATATGCAGGGCAGCACCCACATTTCTAGGGGAGTGTAGCAATGGCCCTGTTACAGCCTTCAACTCCCTTCTCTCCCTCACTCCCTCTGCCATGTCCCCAAAAGAGAGGCGCAGCGACATGGCCCACCATCCCACCTTCCGGAAAATCTACTGTGATGCTGTTCCTTACCTGTTCAAGAAGGTGAGAAACAGTCTTTGGGCACTTTCCTCTTGACCAGGGGTCCATTCTAGGCCTTAGGACCCTGGTCCTCCCTGTTGCCTTCCGAGGCCTATGGCAGGTGAGGCCTGCTCCCCCCAACCTTCACTTGGGCTGACCCAGCTTCCCCACCTGTCCTGTTCCTTTAAGGTTCGAGCTGTCTACACAGAAGGTGGTTGGTTTGAGGAGGGGATGAAGCTGGAGGCCATTGACCCCCTGAATCTGGGCAACATCTGTGTGGCAACCATCTGCAAGGTGAGCCTGTGGCTGGCCCTCCAGCCTCCAGTGTAGCTTTCTCAGGGGACGGAGCCGGTGCAGAGCCCTGCACTCCATGTCCATCCACACCCCAAGGCTGGCTGCCCCTGGAGTACCTGATCTCTGTGAGCAGGGGACTCACCTGCTCCTTGCTCAAAATCTGCTTTCATGTCATGGTCCGAGGCACATTGAACAGGCGTTTATTTATCATCACCTTCCTGGTCTGAGCCTGTTCTTGTGTCAGGTGTAGGCCCTACCTTGTCACCTCCGTGGGGGCCTTCCCACAGCCACATGCCATTTCCTTTGGGTGCTGGCCTAGCCGAGAGCCATACCAGGCTGACTTTGCTGCAGCCTGAGGAGCAGTGACATTGGCCCTCCTGGGGGACAAGCTGATGTGTCCATGTGACTAATATGACTTCCCCAGGCAGGGGCTGTGTGCTTACTACTGAGAACACAGTGGCAGAAAGACAGATACAGGCCCTGTTGGCAGATTGCTGCCCGGTGAGGAAGGTCAGTCATCCCACCAGCGCAGGTTACAGAACTGCCGGGGCTCTGGAGCAGCAGCTCAGGGAAGCTGACGTCTAGCGCTGGTGGGATCCATGGCCTCGTGTCCCCACCACAGCCACCTTGCCCTGGGCTGGGGGTGCACCGCTCATGACACCATGTTCTCTATCTGCCCCGCTTCTACTCCTCCACCCTCAGGTTCTCCTGGATGGCTACCTGATGATCTGTGTAGATGGGGGGCCCTCCACAGATGGCTCGGACTGGTTCTGTTACCATGCCTCCTCCCACGCCATCTTCCCAGCCACTTTCTGCCAAAAGAACGACATTGAGCTCACACCTCCGAAAGGTAAGACTGGCCTGACCACACTGTAGCACCCCTGTGGTCATGTGCTCCTTCCTGGATGCCTCCCACTTCCCCTCCCTACACATCTCTTCTGCGCCTCCAGGGTACGAGACACACACTTTCAGCTGGGACACCTACTTGGAGAAGACCAAGTCGAAGGCAGCTCCATCGAGACTCTTTAACATGGTGAGGAGACCGAGGAGCGGCCGGGCTGGACTCCGCCTGGCCCTGCCCACTGTCAGGAGGATCTCCTGCTGAGATCAGCCACTTCCAGGACTAAGTGCCGGCTCCGACATAGGCACTGCGCCCAATAGTTCAGCGGTCCCTTCCCCACTGGGTCTGGTGCTTGGGCACAAAGTACAGATGGTCAGAGGGACCTTCCCCCTCAGGCACTCTCAGCCCTGCTCCTCCCCCCAGTTCTGTCCCACTGGGGCAGGGAGCTGGCTGGCAGGCTCACTGCCTTCCTCCTCCTCCCCAGGACTGCCCCAACCATGGCTTCAAGGTGGGCATGAAGCTAGAAGCCGTGGACCTGATGGAGCCCCGGCTCATCTGCGTGGCCACAGTGAAGCGGGTGGTGCATCGGCTCCTCAGCATCCACTTTGACGGCTGGGACAACGAGTATGACCAATGGGTGGACTGTGAGTCCCCGGACATCTACCCGGTCGGCTGGTGTGAGCTCACCGGCTACCAGCTCCAGCCACCTGTGGCCACAGGTCTGGCTTCTTGCAGCCCTCAGGGGCTCTTGACTTTTCTTTTTTCTTCCTGCCAACCACTCCCCCTGCCCCATGCCCACCTCATCCTTTGGCATGAGATTGAGAAGTCTCCTGGACCACCTTTGCTCCTGACTTCTCTGTCTCCCTTTCCCTCTGGCCCACAGAGCTCCTTCTTTGATCTTACCCACTCTGTCCTATGCTCGGGCCCTTGTGCACCCAGGTAAACTACCCAGGTCCCTCGAAGAAGCCCTGGTGATGAGGGTGGGAAGGGACAGCTGTTCTCCAGTCCCTCCCCAGCCCCTCCCCCATTCTCATTCCCCAACTTTGGCTTTCCTTCTTGGGTGTCCCTAGTGTAAGGGATGCTAGTGAGGGGTGGGCAGTCTCAGGATGTCCCTCTACTTTGTGTCCTGTCAGAACGCCTCTCACCTCTGTCCCTGTCTTTCAACAACAGAGCCAACCACACCTCTAAAGGCCAAAGAGGCCACGAAGAAGAAAAAGAAACAGTTTGGAAAGAAAAGTAAGTGGTGCTCTAAAGCAGCCTGGCTCGTGTCAGACTTGGGATCAGCTGGGACCGTGTCCCTGGGACCAGAGCTTGCGGGTTGTTACTTAGGTAGTGAAGACAGTCCCTCTGTCTCTTCCCCTTGCTCTTTGGCCCCACGGGCCATCATCCTGTCTTCAGAGACCCAGAGCATCATAGGGAGTCTTCAGTCCCTGGCGGTGGTCAGGATGCCCAGGGAAGAACAAGATGTTGTATTTGAGAGAGAGAAGGGAAGGGATTCCATCCCTGCTGTCTCATGGCAGAAACTGGCGCCTCTCGTGTGCACAGTTGCAGGGTATGGAAGTCAAAGGTGCCGGAGGAGCCTGGCTGGTGTGGCTCAGTGGTTGAGCGTCGATCCATGCACCAAGAGGTCGCCGGTTCGATTCCCGGTCAGGACACATGCCCAGGTTGTGGGTCCAATCCCCAGTGGGGGGCATGCAGGAGGTGGCTAAATCAATGTTCTTGCTCATCGACGTTTCTCTCTCTCTCCCTCTCCCCTCCTCTCTCTCTAAAATAAGTAAAGAAAAAAAAAATTTTTTTTTTTTTTAAATGTGCTGGAAGCCCTGGCCGGTTTGGCTCAGCGGTTAGAGCGTCAGCCTGCGGACCGGAGAGTCCCGGGTTCAGTTCTTGCTAAGGGCATGTACCTTGGTTGTGGTTTGGCCCCGGCCCCGGTTGGGGTTGTGTGGGTGGCAGCCACTCGATGTGTCTCTCTCACGTTGATGTTTCTCTGTCTTCCTCCCTCCCTCCCGCTCTAGCTGAAGATAAATGCAAAAAATAAAAATAAAAAGGTGCTGGAAGAAATGCCATCTGCTCCCCAGGCTGCCAGTCTTCCCTTCTACTCCCCTCGGGTGGGAGCAAGGGCAGCCACAGAGCATCAGGGACATTTCCCCAGGCGGGGCCCTACTCGCAACAGGTCCTGAGTCCAAGAGGAGCTTAGTTTGGGGCAGCAGGTTGGAGGGGGCAGGGAGTGGGTGAGGGTGGTGGCAAGGTGGTCTCCATGACCTGGCTCCACACAGTGAAGAAATGGGTATGGCCACCCAGCAGGATTAAGGTCAGGAGAGGGTATGGAGGGCTCTGAGCCTTGAAACATAGGGCCTGAGAGGGGATATCAGAAGTTCAAGCCAATCCCCCAAATTGGTACTGTCCCCTCTGCTCTGCTGCCCAACCACTGGATGAGACCCAGTCTTCCTGCCATACATGGATATAACTCTAATGAGGGTTTAATTTCATTTTTATTCAAAGGGAAAAGAATACCACTGACCAAGACCCGGCCCCTGAGACAAGTGTCCAAGAAGCCGCTGCTGGATGAGGCCCCGAAGGCTGCAGAGATCTCGTCGGGGCCCGTTCCCGATGAGAGTAAGAGCCCCTGGGTGGGGCGGGGCAGGGCCGGCCTGCTCCAGGGCTCAGAGACGGCCCCTCTTCTTCCTCACCTGGACACAGAAGAGTACAGTCAGTTTTGAAGGGAATTTTCTGGGCACCGAGCACCCTTCTCAGACCACTGGGCTGAAGAGCTTCCCAAACGCCCACCCCAGATCTGAACGGAGCTGAGTAGCTCCAGCCTGGCCTCTCCGTCTCTGCCCCCGGCTCGTGTGGTGGGCAGGGTGGGCAGTGGAGGGGCAGGTGCCATGTGACAGGGCCTGGGCCTTCTCCCCACCCGAGATCCTGAGCCCCCGCCCTTCCCAGAGTTACATGCACAGTCTCTCTCTCTCCCGCCCCACCTCCTCCCTCTTCAGTCATTGCTGTGCGCGTGAAGGAAGAGCATGTGGATGCGGCCACACCCGACAAGGCCCCGAGTCCAGAGCTGCCCGTTTCCCTAGAGAACATCAAACAGGAGACAGACGACTGAGCCACCCCTGCTGCCGGCCTGGCCACCTAGGAAGCCAGCCAGTGCTCTGTCACCACCACCTTCCACCCCACTTTAGTTGGAGACTGAGCCTTTTTGCATAAATTCAGCCAGCTGCTGAGGCTCCGTCACTGAAGGGCCAGCCGGGGTCTCCTCTGACCCGCCCTGTGACCTCTGCCCTCTTTGGCAAGGCCTAGTGACTGGGGCTGCCTGAGGTCCTCACAATGGTCTGTGAGTGGCTCCCTCTCCGTCTAGAGTCCCCGAAGCTCTCCCGTCCCGTAGCCCCCTCCACACCCACCACACCACTCAGTTGCCAGGTGTGGGAGGCCGTCGCCCAGTCACACCACAAAACAAGACTGAAGTGTGTGGTGTGTGTGTGTGCCTGCCCAAGCAAGTCACATAAATAAAGACCTGCAGCAGCTCTTGAGAGGGAGACGGTCACCTGATGGGTGGTGAGTGGTGTGATGAGTCTAAAAATGGAACCAAGTGGCCTGTCTTGCCTCCTGAGTTGGTGCTCTGCTTCTAGCACCCCAGAGAGGTAGAGGACCCCATGTAGACCCTTCTCTGGCAGGCAGCTGAGAAGTGACCAGGATGTGGGTTTCAGTGACTTGTGAGGTGGCCTTGACCTATTGGCATGAGCACCGACTCCCATTTCTAAAGGAACAGTGGAATAGAGGTGGGGTCTGCTGCCTGGGTTGGGGGCTTGCAGGGGCCTAAGGAGGGAAGGACTAACAATAGGCCATACCCTTGGGGAAGATCAATGGTGGATGGAGTCGGGGGCGGCGGGAGAGGCAGGTCTGCAAGGCGAGCTCAGCCCCACCTGAGAGGCAGACTCTCCAGCACTGAGCTTAACCTGCTCCAGAGGCCAGCTTGGCTGGGACCTGTCCTTTTCACTTCCCTTCTGTTAACCAGGGTCAGGTACAGCCCTGCCAGAGTCACAGGGCTGCGACGGGAGTGGTCAGCCCTGCTGGCTGAGATGACCCTGAAGCAGCTCCTGGGTGGAGGGAGAAGAGGGGTAGCAGGACACACTTCCTGGCTCCCTGTCTTTCATTGTCAAGTCCTTAGCTCCTTAGCATAGACTCCTGCTGCTCTCTGAAATTACATTCTAGTTCACCTAGTGTTCACCAAAGTACAGCTTTTGTTTTTCTCAGTTTCCTTTGAAACTGCCTCCTTTTTGATCAACAATCCCGTCTCTTCATTAATTCCCACTTCTGGAACCCAAGGCAGAAGCTGCAGCCTCGGCCCATTCCTCTGATGTGCAGAGAACCCCACTGCTGGGGGCGGGTCTGCCTTAGGCTGCAGCTGTGCTGGCCCGGAGTCCCACCGCCTTCTGCTGTGGTCTGGGCTGGCCACAGGGGGTGCTGTCTGCTCAGGACTGGGCTATCTGTGTCATCCCAGAGATGGGGTGACCAGCCCAAGGGGAGCCAATTTTCAGTTCACAGAGAATTTGGTCTGGTCTTTGCTGAAGGCACTAGGAGCCCCATATGGTGCAGAAAAGAGGCCCCAAAAGAAGCCTGTTGGTACAGCCTGAATTCAGTAAGTGACTATATTTAGAACACAAGCCGAAAACAGCGACAGGTCTCTCATATACATACCCCAGACTTAGGTGGTGACTGGCTAGTGGCACCAGCCACTGGGGAGGAAGATGGCCCAGGTGTGCACTCTGGCTCCTGGGCCTGCCCATGGAGCCCTCCTTTTGTTGGGGGTAGTGTGTCCAGCACAAGTGACTTCCTTGCGGTTGTGGGGTCCAATTCTGCCTGATGAGCTTCTGGGGAAATGACTTGTATGGCATTTTGGCCTTTAGTTCCTTCTTGAATGAAGAAGTGATGCCTACAGGTGCTATGGGCACAGAGGCCCCCAGATTCCAACAGTGGAGCTGGAAGATAAGTTTAGCTGCCACTCAAGCCCTGGACTGGCCTCTCCAGACAGCCAGAGGGGGTGTGTGTAGACAGCCGCACTGCCCAGGGGTCCATTACTTGAAAATTTGTCAGATGTTTGTTCCTTACAGCAGTGTGTATTCTGATATGCCACCTCATAGTAACAATTACAAAGTGAGTTCACATGTGGAGAGAACAATAAAGAGTAAATGTCGCCTGTCTCCTGAGTGTCCATCTCCATAGCAACCACACATAGCCTTATTTCTGCCCTTTCCCTCCCCTAAGACTGAATTCCCCAAAGGCCTAGCTTGTGTCTTGTCCCTTGGACCCTCTGCACTGGCCTGGCACAGTGAGTATATGACATGAAAATGTCTATAACTGTTGTGTTACTGGGGCCTAAAGGCCAATTTGATGTGTCACAGATGCAAGAGTTGACCTCTGGGACATTCTCACTCCGGGCACAGAATGGACCTGTGTCTCAGCTCCCTTGGATAGTATGGCGGCGGGGGGGCTGCTGGCTGGGCAGCATCCTGAAGAAACTACACCCTGCTCCACCGCTTGACCTGCGGTGGTTCCCGGTGTGGATCAGACCAAACCCAGAGGCACCTCACACCTTTCCTGTCGCCCAGTCCAGACCCTTGGCTCTCCTCCAGGGACCCAGACGCAAGGGAATGGCCGTTTCTGACAGTGTCATGTACAGGGCCCTGGTTCACACTCATCTATGCAGCCTATTTGATCTGCACAGTAGGCCTGCGAGGTACGACTTCATTTTATAGATGAGGAAAAGAAAGACTCATTAAGGTCTAGTAACTTGGTTGCTTAAATTTACTACTTAAATGACAGCAGTGAGATTAAACCCTATTTGATTAGCCATATTATTGTGGGTACCCTTCATTCATTCACTTGACATTATTAAGTGTCTTTCACGGGCCAGACACCAAGCTAGAGGTCAGGCCTCAGAGAAGGGAAACGCGTGGTCCAGCCTCATGCCTTCAGCAAGGTCAGCATCCCCACCCAGAACACCCTGCCACGGCTCAGGACCCCTATCCTCCTTCAATTCCTTTGTATTCTTGGGAGAAAGTGGCCACTTCCAACAAAATAGAAATGAAAACCCTCGAACTCCAGGGCTGGCCTTTGGTGGAATACCTGCATATCAGAAAGGGTGGCTGCAGGGGAGCCCGGGTGCCGTGGGTTAGCACGAGGCCTAGTGCCAGTCAGTGCACACGGGGGTCCAAACTGCTGTCAACGCTAGTTCTAGGTCTTGTTTCTCAGGCAGAACTACTCACCTTCAGCTTGCAGTCTTTTTTAGGGGCTCCTTCCTCACTCCCAGCCTCACTCCACAAGGAACACTGTTAGGGGTTAAATTGTGTCCCTCTAAAGAAGATACACCTCAGGTTGAGACCTTATTTAGAAACAGGAACTTCACAGAGGTAATCAAGTTAAAATGTCATTAGGATGGACCCTCATCCAATATGACTGTTCTTATGAAAAGGGGGAATTTGGCCCTGGCCGGTTTGGCTCAGCGGTTAGAGCCATCCGCCCATGGACCAGAGAGTCCCAGGTTCGGTTCCTGCTAAGGGCATGTACCTTGGTTATAGTTTGTCCCCGGCCCCAGTTGGGGTCGTGTAGGTGGCAACCACTCGATGTCTCTCTCTCACATCAATGTTTCTCTCTCTCTCTTCCTCCCTCTCTCCCCCTCTATCTGAAGATAAATGCAAAAATGTCCTTGGGTGAGGATAAAAAAAGGGGGGTGGGGTTTGGACACACTGGGTGTGGCGAGAAGATGTGAAGACACAAGGAGATGCCAGAGATTGGCGTTGTGCTGTCCCAAGCAAGGAACATCTGGGGCCACCAGAAGCTGGAAGGGGCAGCAAAGACCATTCTTTAGAGCTGTCAGAGAAAGCATGGCCCTGCCTTGGTTTCAGACTTCTAACCTCTAGAACAGTGAGATGATAAATGTGCCCAGTTTGTGGTACTTTGTTCTGGCAACGGTAGGAAACTACTACACCATCTAATAGTCCCCAGGCACCCCAAATCTTCATAGTGCAGTTCCTCTCCCCACCTTCCCAGTAGCTCCTTGTTCTGTTTTCATTCTCTAAGGACTGGCTGCTCCCCTATGGACCCCCCCCAGTGCCCTCACCACACAGCATGGGCTCCCACATGGAGATGCTCCCACATGGAGATGCACCCACATCCCACTCACTCTTCTCTGATGTGCTGCAAGATTGTGCTACAATTGCTCTTTCAAGTGCTAATGTATTTGCCACGATGGTGAACATAATGTCAAGGGTCGATGGACGGATGCAGAGTGGAGTCCAACCTGTGGCCGAGAAGCTGTGGCAGCATCTGCACTGCTGGTCTGCCCACCCCAGGGATGAGGCAAGCCCTTGAGCTCAGGATGGGAAATGGTCGAGTCCACAGTGATCCAGCGAATACGGTAACAGCAGGATTGATTTCATGGACACATCAGGTCCAGTATGCTGTGGCTTAGCAGAAAGGTCACTGTCCCATAGGATGCAATAACATAAAAGGTGAGTCCTTACAGACCCACCTTGGGTGCAGCCCAGATGTGAGCAGGAGGGGATGGGCATTACTGACTGGAAGCAATAGGGTCATTGCCCAGACCTATAACCACGTGAAACCGGGACCAAGAAAAGTCAGAGCCCTGCTACCCTGAGAGCTTTGGAACCTGACCCACCCACCAAGGCCTCCCCCAACTTGCTCTGTGGCCAACCTTGTCTGCTCCCCGCCATCTCCCCTTCACGAGGCTTCTCCGGGCACTGGGCGTCCGCTTGGCCTTCCTGGAAGCCCAGCTGGGGCAGGCTTCAAAGAGAGCAACTGCAGCCTTCACCCTCTGGCCACGGGCACTGGGAGGGGTGGCACAGGTGGCCCCCACACGCAGGTTCAGCCCAGTGAGCCACCTGAGAAGAAAGAGTTCTTGGGGAACCCATGGTGCAGAGCTTTCCCAAGGAGAGGGGGTCCTCGGGAATTTGGGGCAATGGGGCCTAGTGCATGAGAACAGGCTCAGGAGAATCCTGGTTCAGCTGCTCACCAATTATGTGATCCTGAGCAAGTCACTTCCAACCTCACATCCCTTCTCTGTAACAAGAGGGTAGTAACAGTGATAGTTACAGAGGGCTGTAACTTTTCAAACCAATCCATTCAGGTGGTTAGATTCAGTGGTTAGAGCGTTGGCCCTCAAACCAAAGGGTTCAATTCCAGTCAAGGGCATGTACCTGGGTTACAGGTTTGATCTCTGGCCTGGTGGGGGCTTGTGCAGGAGGCAACCAATCGATGTGTCTCTCTCACATTGATGTTTCTCTCCCTCTCTCCCTCCCTCCCTCCCTCCCTCCCTTCCACTTTCTCTAAATAGCAATGGAAAAATATCCTTGGGTGAGGATTAACAAACAAAAAATAGATGTAACTCCTAACAAGCTGCCACCATAAGGTGGACACAATTACTATCATTCCCTTTACAGATGAGGGCCAGCACAAGAGATCACGTGACCCAAGCCAGTCAGTCAGACAGACAGACAGCTGGATTTCAGCCAGGTCTTCAGACTCCAGGGTCCTTGGGACTCCAGAGCCCTTGTTGCTTTCTCCTGTAATTATGTGATTAGGCCCACTGACTGGGTGGATCTCATTTCCACCCCGCAGATGAGGGAGGGACTCGAGGCTCAGAGAAGGCACCCCAAGCTTGTGTACACTGGCTCCCCCAGGAAGTGTAGCTGGCCCTGGCAGGACCCTGCCCCCCATAAGCTGCTCAGCCAGGCAGAAATGGTGCCCTGGAGAGACGGTGGGGGCTTGACTGAGAGCAGCTAGTGGGTCCCCGGCTGGGGTTCCAGGTGGAGGTGCTCACCTGTGAAGTGGGAGCAGCCGGCAGTCACAGTGGAAGGGATTGCCACTCAGGTCAACCAACTCCAGCTGGCTGAGACCAGGCAGGGCAGGCAGGGCCTGCAGCTGGTTCTTCTGCAGGTGTAGGCTCTGTAGCCGGGGCCCCAGGCCTGAGAAGGCCCCAGGAGAAATCTGCAAGGAGGTCCAGGCCCTGGTGTGAGCTCCTATCAGTCCAGGCAGGGAGGCCCATGCTCCCCTAGCAGAAGGGAAGTGGGGACCCTCAGGTGGCCAGGCAGAAAGGGCAGTGCTAGGGTGGAAATGGAGGTTCATCTGATGCCAAAGCACTTGCCCTTTGCAAGTCACCTGGACCCCCGGTTCATGGTTCTTTCTGCTTTGCCTGAACTAAACCCCCTCCCCCCAAAATGGCAAAGCCTCTTGAGGGCTCCAGCCCTGCCCTCAAAGTGTACAACTGTAGGTGACCCTGTGGACTCACATTCCTCCCTCCTCTGTGCCCCGGCAGACCTCTCTGTGTAGCACTAGAGTCCATCTCCTCTGTCACCCACACCTGAATTGCCTGGGGGCAGGTGTAGTTGGCTTACCTAAGGGTCCCCATGCCCAGCCTTGGGCCTGGCACTTCAGGGGTTGGCAGTGTTTGTTGAGCAAATGTTTGCTGCACAGGGCCATGCTGCTTCCCCACTCCCCTGCTCCCCGGGTGCCCACCTGCTCCAGGCCACTGCTGTTCAGGAAGAGGTGCTGCAGGGACCGGCCCACGGGCCGGAAGGCCCCGTCCTGCAGGGCCCTGAGCAGGTTCCCCGAGAGCTGCAGCTCCAGGAGGGCAGGCAGCCCCTGCAAGGCCGCAGTGGGCACTTCTCGAAGCTGGTTCCGGTCAAGGTGCAGCTTCTCTAGCTCTGGAGCGGGGCCCAGTGCCCCAGGGGACACCAGGGTGATCCGGTTCCCACTGAGATAGAGCCAGCGCAAGGCCTGCAGGCCTGCCAGGTCGCCGGGGGCCAGGCGGTCCACAGCGTTATCCTGCAGGTGCAGGGAGAAGAGGCGGGGCAGGGCACGCAGGGCGGTCCCCGGCACCCGCGCGAAGCGGTTGCGCTCCAGGTACAGGTAGCCCAGGCTAGGGGCCCCTTCCAGGGCGGCAGCGCTGAGGCCTGAGAGCTGGTTGTCAGAGAGGTAGAGGTAGAGCAGGCTGCCCAGTCCGGCCAGGGCGCCCGCCTCCAGCTCTGCGATGCCGCAGTGCTGCAGGTGCAGTGACACTAGGTGGCCCAGGCCCGGGAAGGCCGCTCGAGGCACCAAGGGGAAGTGGTTCTGCCTCAGGTCCAGGAGCTGGGTGTCGTTGGGGAAGCCGCGGGGCACGGCCTGCAGGCCCCGGCCCTCGCAGCCGCTGTGCCGGGACTCGGAGGCGCACACGCAGGCGCGCGGGCAGGGCCGGGCCGCCCCATCCTCCTCCTTGGGGGCGCCGGGAGGGGCGCGGGGCCGCGCGGCCGGCAGCTCCTCTTCCTCGTCCTCGTCCTCTGCCCGGTCTCCGGGGCAGCGCAGGTCTGAGGGCCGCAGGGCGTCCAGGGCCTCGCCTCGCACGCGCCGGGGGCCCCTGCACACGCCCTCCGAGCGCACGCGCGCCTGCGCCAACCACGCGAGCAGTGGCCGCGCCCGGCAGCCACACCACAGCGGGTTCCCCTGCAGCCGCAGCTGGCGCAGCTGCCCGGGGCCCTGCAGCGGCGGCGGAGTGTCCAGCTGGTTCCCGCGGAGGTCCAGGGTGTGCAGGCGCGGGCAGTGGGCGAAGGCCCTGGGGTCCAGAGCCTGCAGGGCCGCGTGGTCCAGCATCAGCTCCCGCAGGCTGGGCAGTGCCAGCCCGTCCTCCTCACCTGCGTAGGTGAATGGGTTGTGGCCCAGCTCTAGACGGGCCAGGCCACGAGCCTGGGACAAAGCGGCCCCGGGCAGGGCCTGCAGCTCATTGTGGTGCAGGCTGAGCCGGCGCAGAGCAGGCAGGCCAGCCAGGGCCTCGGGGGCCAGCACGCTGAGAGCATTGTGGGACAGCTGCAGCCAGCGGGTGCGCAGCAGCCCCTGGAAGGCCATGGAGGGCAGGTAGACCAGGGCGTTGTGGGCCAGGTTGAGTGTGGCCAGTGCTCCCAGTGCCCCAAATGTCCCTGGCCGCAGCTCCTCCAGCATGTTCCCCTCCAGCGACAGCCGCCGCAGTGAGCCCAGCCCATCCAGTGCTTCCTGGGGCAGCGCACTCAGGCGGTTGGAGGCCAGGTTCAGGAGAAGCAGGCGGCCCAGGCCACGGAAGGCGCCCTCAGCCACTAGCTCCACCTGGCAGTGCCGCAGGTCCAGATGGGTCAGGTAAGGTAGGTCCTGGAAGGCAGCTGGAGGGATCACCTTCAGCATATTGCCCTGGAGGTCCAGCCGCTGAGTTAGCTGAACGAGGAGAGGGGAGAGGGGAATGAGCACAAAGACTGTCTGGCCTGTGCCCCTTGCTAAGTTTCCTCACCTGGAACTCTTCTCCCCCTCACCTTTCTCTCATTCTCTTCATCCTGCACCCTGACACCTCCTCCAGGAAGGCTTCCTCCCCAGCCACCTGGGCGCCCTCCACTCTGGCCTTTCCCTCCCTTCCTCCCTTCCTCCCTTCCTCCCTCCCTTCCTTCCTTCCTTCCTTCTCCATTCCTTCCTCCCTCCCTCCCTTCTCTTTCTTTCTTTTTTTCTTTCTCTCTCTCTCTCTCTTATCCTCACTCGAGGAAATTTAAAAAAAATTTTTTTTTATCCTCACCTGAGGACATTTTTCCATTTTTGTTCAGATAGAATGGGAGGGAGAGAGAGAAACATCGACATGAAAGGGACACATCGAGTGGCTGCCACATGACCCCTACTGGGGCTGGGGTTGAACCTGCAACCCAGGTACATGCCCTTGATGGGGAATCGAACCTGTGACAGTTTGGTCTACAGGCGGACACTCTGACTGCTGAGCCAACCGGGCCAGGGCTGGCATTTTTTACATTGAATTGTCACTGCCCATTTACTTCCTTCCCCACTAGTCCTTGACTATACGGCATGATCATATCGTTCTCCAATATATCCACAGTTCTCTGCCACAGGGTCTGTATTTAATTCAGTATTTATCTATACATCACCTACTTGTGCCAGTCACAGAGGATTTTAAATAGCTTGTCTCCCTGTTGTTGCTCATTATCATTCCCATTTTATAGATGTGAAGACCAAGGCTCAGAGAGGAAAAGTGACTTTCCAAGGTCTCCCAGCTAGGCAGTGGCAGATCTTGTGCCAGCCCAGGCTTCTCCTGCTGTCCTCCCCCACCCCCTCGCACTGCTGACCTCAGGGATGGCGCTGGGCACCTCAGTGAGGTTCTGATGCCGGCAGGACACATGCCGCCTGGAGTTGTCACAGACGCAGGTCCGTGGGCAGCGTTGGGCAGCTGCATGCCCAGTTGGGCCCAGCGGCAGCAGCAGAAAAAGCAACAGGACCAAGGAGATGCTTTGGGGCCTGAGAGAGGGAGGAAAGGCTGCTGTTCACAGGGGCAAGGGTCCCACATTGTCCACTCACTGAGCCCAGGCTCCAATCCTTTGGCCCCAGGAAAGGTATCATTTTCTTGTGCCTGCCCACCCCCAACACAAAGCCCTGTTTTATGCTGGAGGAAACTGAGGCTCAGAGGAGAGACCTGGCACATCCCTTTGGCTGTCTTCCCAGTGGCTCAGTGAGGCCTTGCTAAATGTAAGAATGACTCCGGGGTTAGTCTGTGCCTGGCTGTGGTGAGGTTCCCAGGTCAAGGGGAGGCCTGGATGTCCCAGCATGAGGTTGGTGGCAGAGGGAGAAGCAGCACCAGCTTCATGGTGGCAGGGAATACAATGACACCCACCTGGAGAAGACAGCCTGGTAGCCAGAGGCGAAGACGTTGGCCCGGCCCAAGTTGTGGGGTATGATTTGGGGGACCAGGAATTGTGGGGCCCAGGAGCCTTGAGGAGCCTTAAGGGCTGTTCAGAGCCATCCTGACAGAGGAGCCGACGGCTCAGTTCTCTCCTCTTCTGTTTATCCCCCCGTTCTCCATTCTGGCCAGGACTAGGATGGGGACCTGAGGGTCTGGGTTTGGGGCTGAGCTTTGGGCAAGGTCTATCCACTTACCTGTCTGTCCACCCATCTGTTCATCCACCTCCACCCCCACTCATCCATCTATCCATCACCCAGTTGGACCTCTTCATGTCACAACTTAAGCCACTGCCTGTTGCTTCCTGGGGACAACTGTTGCCACAGTGAGTCTCCTGGCCTCCCCAGCACTCCACTCACCACCAACCACCAAATGGAACTTTCCAAAATACCACGGGCCCTGAAAACCCTCCAGCATCTCCTTACTGCCTGTGGTAGGAAGACCAGGCTCCTGGTTCCCCAATGGGAATCTGCTCAGACTCGCCAGTGTCAGCCCCTGGGTCCCCCACTGTGAGCCCAGAGCTCCCTCCTCACTGCCTGCAACACCGAATGCACCCAGCTGTTCCTCTGCTTGCAGCTTGGTCAGGGCCTCTAGCAGCCTTTCCTGGTCCCTGAGCTGGGTCCCCACCCACCCTGAGTCTCCCCCATTTCCGCACACTGCTTTGTCACCATCTGTTTTTCACTCTCTTTGAGGTCCCAGGGTCCAACCCTGGCCTTGGGGCTGGTGGCATCCCCCAGTCTGTGGTGAGGCTGAGGGTCAGGGTGGGCCAGGGGGGACCTGGAGGAGAGAACGGATCCCAGAAGGACAAGCATCCAGGGCCGGAGGGCTGCTGAGCTCTCAGACAAGCCCCCACGGGAGCTGCCACTTTCCCACGCTGCCCTCCTCAGAACCCGCTCTGAAGACACTCTTGGAGATCTCTACCCAGGCAGATCCCAGAGGCCCAGAGGGGCAGGGGCTTGACTGGAGCCACTCAGCCTCTCTACCCACCCGTCCACCCCCACCGGGCCCAAACACTCACCCCTCCATGCCGCCGCACAGGGCCAGTCCAGCCTGGAAGTGCAGCACAAGGGAAAGGCCACGTCTGTCCGTCTGGATACTGGCAGGAGCCCCCTCCCCTCCCGCAGGCCTGGCAGTGGGGACAGGGCTGAATGGGAGGCATTGTGGGCAGCCCAGCCACAGGCTGAGGTGAAGGAGGGGCGGGCAGGGGCGGGAGCAGTGGCTGGAGTTACAGGGCCTCCTGCCCAGCGCCAGCTCCAGCTCAGGATCCCCGCTGAGGCCTGAAGGCCCAGCCTGGGCAGCCGAGTCCCAGGGCAGCCTGACAGGGGCCTGGAGGGGCTCTGGGACCCAAGCTGTGGGGTCCCGGGTAGGACTATGTCTCATGGAGCCTCAGTTTCCTACTCTAAAGAGAAAATATGATTAGTAGCTAGCTTAGTCGGTTGCTGTGAGGATTAAGGTAGGCACCTGCCACATAGTAGCTGCTCGAGAATGGTTAACTCACCCTGGCCGGTTTGGCTCAGTGGTTAGAGTGTCAGCCCACAGACCAGAGAGTCTCGGGTTCGGTTCCCGCCAAGGGCACGTACCTCGGTTGCAGTTTGTCCCCGGCCCTGGTTGGTCGTGCAGGTGGCAGCCACTCGATGTGTCCCTTTCGCATCTATGTTTCTCTCTCTCTCTGTTCCTCTCTCTCCCTCCCACTCTACCTGAACAAAAAATGGTAAAATGTCCTCGGGTGAGGATTAAAAAAAAAAAAAAGAAAGAAAAAAAAAGAAAGAACAGCTCTGGCTGGTTTGGCTCAGCAGTTAGAGCATCGGCCTGCGGACCAGAGAGACCCGGGTTTGGTTCCCGCTAAGGGCACGTACCTCAGTTGCAGTTTGTCCCCAACCCCAGTTGGGTGTGGGTGGCAACCAGTAGAAGTGTCTTTTTCACATGGATGTTTATCTTCCTCCCTCTCTCCCTCCTGCTCTATCTGAAGATAAATGCAAAAAATGTCCTCAGGTGAGGATAAAAATAACAAAAAACAAAACAACAAACAAAAGAATATCCTTTTATTTATTTATTTATTCTCACTTGAGGACATTTTTTCATTTTTTTGCTCAGATAGAGTAGGAGGGAGAGAGAGAGAGAGAGAGAGAGGGAGAGAAACATCGACGTGAAAGGGACACATGGAGTGGCTGCCACCCACACGACCAACCAGGGCCAGGGACAAACTGCAACCGAGGTACGCCCTTGGCGGGAACCGAACCCAGGTCTCTCTGGACTGCAGGCCAACGCTCTAACCGCTGAGCCAAACCAGCCAATGGGTATTTTCATCTTCAGTGGGTATTTCCCATTTCCCAAAGTGGTTGTACCAATTCACACATTCACTAGCAGTGCCCGAGAATTCTGGCCAGTCCACACCCTCACTGATGCTCTCTGTAGCATCTTTTTGTATTGTAGCCATTCTAGTGAGGATTATAATGGTGTCACATGGTGATTTTATTGTGTTTCTCTGAAGACTAATGAAATTAAGCATCTTTTCATATGCTTTTTGTGAAGTGCTCATATTTTCCTCGTTTTCTATTATTAATTTTAGAAACTATGTATTCTGAGTTAAATATATATATATGTATTGTAAGTATTTTCTCCGGACCACAGGCCGACGCTCTAACCGCTGAGCCAAACTGGCCAGGGCTGTAAGTATTTTCTTTCTGTGACTTGCCTTTATTTTATTCCCTTATTGATGCCTTTTGATTAACCTGTTCTCATTGCTATGCAGTATCCATTGCCTGACTATTTTATGATAACGGCAAACCAGGACGTTAAATGTAGATTTATTCACCTTTTTCTTACTCCCGAGGTCTTGATGGCATTCCTCTACACTATCTCCAAAAAAAATCTAAAGTTTTTTTTTACATTTAGGGTTTTTTATCGTCGTGAAATATACATAACATGAAACTTACAATTTTAATCATTTAACCAATTAAGTGTACAATTATTGGGGTTGAGTATATTCACATGCTGTGCAACCATCACCACTGTCCATTTCCAGAACCTTTCATCACCCCAAACAGTTAGCCTGCACCCATCACAGGCTAACTCCCCATTTCCCCTCCCCCAACCCCTGGTAACCTCCCTTCTACTTTTCATCTCTGTGAATTTGCTTTTTGTCTCTATAAATTCTAGGTACTTCATATCAGTGAAACCACATATTATTTGTCCTCTGATGTCTGGCTTCTTTCACTTGGCATAATATCTCAAGGTTCATCCACGTTGCAGCCTGTATCAGAATTTCATTCCTTTTAATGACTCAATAATGTGCCATTGTATATAGAGAGCACATTTTACCTGTTCGTCTGTTGATGGACACCTGGGTTGTTTCCACTTCCTAGCTGAACAATGCTGCCGTGAACACGGGTGTACAAGCTTGAGTCCCTGCTTCCACTTCTGAGTGTATCAGATTCAGCTGAAGCCCCCTCCCCTTTCCCACCCTTATTCTCTCCTCTCCCTCTCTACCCAGAGGCAACTGCTTTCATGAGATAGTATATTTTACTACAACATATGGCAATACATCTTTAAATGCATATTATTTTGCAACTTGTTCTTTTCACTCTTATGTTTTCAAGAGTCATTCATGTGAATGCAGGTAGCTTCTGGTTTAACCGCCACATGGTCACTGCACGCATGTGCCACACTTGAATCATTCTCCCGCCGATGGCCATTTAGGTTCTCTTTGAATGTTCGGTATCCCCCGTCACCCTGCCCTTGTGCACATGTGCGAGTTTCTCTAGAGCAAATCATTAGAAATGGAATTTGGGGTCATAGCAATACGAGTTCCCGTTTTTCAGTATGTCAGATTACTCTCTAAAGTGGCTTTATTAGTGTGACATCCCTCCAGCAACATAGAAAATGTGTACTGTAAATCTTCCTGGTGTCACCTCAACAATATTGGCCAGTCTCGGGGTGGCTTTACTTTGCATTTCCTTGATTACCAGTGAGGTGTTTGGGAGTTTGCTTTTCAGGTTTCCTCTTCTGTGAAATGCCTGTTCATATCCTTTGCCCAACTTCCAGCTGGATGTGTGTTCTCAAGGCGAGCCCTGTTTTAGGCTGTATGTGTTGCAATGTCTTTCTACTCTACCACCTTGTCTTCACTCTTACGGTCTTTTCCTGTCATTGCTTTACATTTTTTGACATGGGCAGACTTTCTTAATGGTTTAAGCTTGTTTGTGTGTGTCAAAAAATGCTCTCCTGGCCCTGGCTGGATTTGCTCAGCGGTTAGAGCATCGGCCCTCAGCTCAAAGGATCGCGGGTTTGATTCCCAGCCAAGGGCAGGTATCTGGGTTGCAGGTTCAGCCCCTGGCTCCAGTCAGGGTCGTGCAGGAGTCAACCAATCCATGTGATCTCACATTGGTGTCTCTCTCTCCCTCCCTCCCTCCCATTCTATCTAAAAATGAAAAGTATTCTTGGGTGAGGATGAACAATAAAAAGCTGTTTTATTCCCATCTGAAGAATGTGGCTCTTAGGTGGATGGACTTGGACCACTTCAAATGCTTGGTGCTTCCACCCTGCCCAGCCCCTGCCTTTCCCAGACTGTCTTGCTGGGTTTAGCACCTTTTATTGACAAGCGAGAGCATCATCACATATACACGTATGCCTAAACACACGTTAACCTGCCAGTGGTACTGCACTGAGACTCTTCACTCAGCACGGCCCTGGATTCGTCCGCGGTGCGCAAGGCACGCACGCAGCCTAGCCGACACGTTTCCGCCGCGGCGCACCATTCCACTGGCCGCTTTGCACTCGATCCATTTCCCAGCATTGGCCGGTGAGTCGTTCCTTGGTTCTTGCCATCAGGATGTGCTGCTAGGAGCACCCTCGCCCACAATTCAGAATGGAACAGGTTTGGCCCCAAGACAGTGGTTGCATTCCCTTTAGTGGGAACAGCCTGGTACTGAGCAGGCCCTTCACATGTAGGGGTCCCAGGCCAAGGCATCTATGATCTTGCAGACCTCAAGTCAGTGCTTAGGGACTTGCAGCCTGTGCAATCTTAGGGTTGGCTACAGTTCTCGGGAGCATTGGAGTCTGGGGGGAAATTCCAAAGGCTGCAGCTTTCTCAGTAAGCAGAAAGTTACCCCCCCCCACACACACACACACACACACTTCCCTGCACCCAGAGCTCTCAGGGGCCCCGACAGCTGAGCTGGTCTGAAGGATGAGTGGGGGCTGGGACAGTCAGAGCCTGCACTCCTGGGACCAAGATGAAAGGCCAGCCAGGCCAGAGAACCTTGGACAAGCCCCTACTCAGCCTCGAGCCTCTCTCTGCCTGTCAATTATCACCGGTGAGAAGTCCTACTTGAACCTCAAGACTCAGTTCTTGCAGCCCGGACTTGAGCTCCCCTGACCTCACTGCCCACTGTCCCCAAGGCATCCACGCACTCACGCAGGCAGGGGTGTCTTGCCCAGTCCCTCCCCTCCCCTGCCAAGAAAGAAGTCACTCAAGTGGTCCGTGGCCAGTAAGAAAATTTGCCCCCTAAGAAAACTTGGAGGACCCTCTTCATCCCCAGGTGTGCCTGCTGTCTAGGGTACATGGTGAGGAGGGTCTCTGGCCTGTCCTCCCACCATGTGGCAATAGCAGGGAAGAAATCCTGAGAGGCGTCCTCTATTCCGGGCCCTATGGCCAAACATCCTTCAGCAGCCTCCCAGCCAGGCCCCACCCTGTGCAGTGACCTTGCTGGCCGGATCCAGAGGTCCTGACTGCAAGCAGCAGGGCCTGTGGCGAAATCCGGAGTGTCCAGCTCAGCCAGGCCCACAAATGGAGCAATGCCAGGACCGTGGAGCTGTGGCCCGAGGACAGGGCGACGGACGAGCTGGGGGCAGACAGTGTCACAGATCCAGAGGGGGAGCCCCCTCTCCTCCCAATTCACATGAGTTGGAGCCTGGTCCTGGGCACCGCCTGCTCAGCTGTTAGAGGGGCGCTGGCATGCCCACACCGAGGCAGCGTCCGGGCTTCGGGGGCAGGGACCTGCCCCAGATGCTGACACGAGACTGGCACC